TGCGTTGAGTTGTAAATAAAGAATAGTGTAGTGGCCCACACAGGGGCATTTTGCTCCTTTTTATTATTAATAACTGCTATCTAATCGGTTAATAGACGTTAAGTACCCTACAAATCCTAAAAACCTCCTAAAAAACAACACTAGTCATGACCACTTTTGCCTGCTCCTGTGGACTTGGAGCAGCCTGGGCTTGTACAGTGCATCTCACTCTTTGACTCGGTCTCGCTACCCCCATAGTACTGGTCGACTCGTGGGTAGAATTACCGCTAAGAATCTACTCTAGACTCTGGGCCAGCTGCTCGATCTTCTTGGCCTTCTCCAACGCGCGGTCTTGCAGGCAATAGCCCTTGCGGTGGCTCACGCCCCCAAAACACTGCGGTGGGTCTGTGACGAACACAAGACGCACACGGCGCTCTCTCAGGCGCTTGAGCCAAGTGTCGACGTATCGTTCGAGCCGCAGCGTGCAGCCACCCAGTAGCAGCCATGAGGGCGTTTCGTTGGTCTCGCCGAAGACCTTCTCGCATAGGTAATAGAGGAACCCCACAAAGTCTACAGCGAGAGTCACATCGTGGAGGTCGAGCTTCTCCACGGACGTCGTGGCCTCGTGGTCGCGGCAGTAGCGCGTCAGGCCTCTCACGCCCATAGCCGAATAAGATCCAAACTGATTTGCAACAAGTACCCAGAAGACCTCAAAGCGAGTTACTGAGTATGTCGGTGAATTGTAAGTCAAGGATCAAACGCAAGGTGACTTCGGCGAATGCCACATCTTTGATCAACTATCTCATAGAGGGTTGCGCACTGAGTGAAATGAAAAACTAAGCAATGGTCACGAATTCGCTAGGTCTCTTCGTGGGCTGCCGTGTCTTTGGCGAGTCATTGAGGCTTGCCCGCACAGACTCGCATATTGACGATTAGCTTAAGCCACAGGGTTTCCAGGCAGCTCCACTTCATCCGAAGCCGACGAGTCGAAGTCCGCCACAGGTGCAGTCGGTGTCGCCTCCAAGCTACGGCGCGCACTGTCACGACACGACGTCGACCCGGACCAACACTGGGAGATTTGCGGTGCGAGCTGCGGGGCACAGGGCGGTTCACGCGCTCACAGTGAACAACGAAAAGTGTGGCGAGGCGGTTGCGACGGTTTGTCGTAAATGCCCCGGAATCTCCCGACACCGTTTGCGACCG